TAATCCATATCATATTATTGTTTAAACCCTTTTACGACAAGACATATTTTATACTTGTCAATAGTACCATCAGACTTATTCTTAATCTAGAACATCAATTGCATTTAATAATATCTTAACATACTTTTGGAGGTACGAGGTGCCATGTGTTATGTTTCATCAAGGTTGCGAACTCACAATCCATTGCTTCTTTTCATTCTCTGTGTTCAAGAGACTCATCAAGATTTTTCAGTTATCACGTTAATTAAGCATTTGAAAATGTTAACATGTGTATAAAAAATATTGACCATGTATTCACAAAAACATTATCTTGTATATGAAAAATGATAATCAAGTAATTAAAAATGTAACAAGTGTGTATAGAAAAACTATTGACCATGTATTAAAAAAATGTTAAACATGTATTTGAATAATGTAAAATGTTTATTAGAAAAATGTTCTTGATGTATATGAAAAACGTAGATTGAAAACCAAAAGAAACAAAGGAAAAAAAAAGAAAATGAAAGAGGAAAAAGAAAAAACAAAACCAAGAAACAAGCACAAAGGAATGGAAAACTGTGAAAACCTATAAAAACAAAAGAGAATCGTTGAAAACCAAGAAATAAAGAAAAAAACAAAGACAAAGGAAGAAAAAAAAGAACCCAACAAGAACATGAAACAAACAAATAGAACATTAATAAAAACCTAAATACAACGATGAAACAAAGAAACCAAAAGAAAACAACGAAAACCAAACAGAAAAACAAAGAAAACAAAGAAAACCTGAGCAAACACATGAGCTAAAGGCGTGTTTAGTTGCTCGCATGAGGCCCAACCAGACCCATGCGGGAAGGAAGCGGGCTGTTTGGTTGCCTGGTTTTCCTGTTGGGCCTGCATAGCACGAAATTTAAAACATCTCTGGGCTTGGCTCACTGGAAACCCAGAAATTGGCAGTTTCTCCCGAGTCAGGCCGAGGTGAGCGCAAGCCGGTGGGCCCTTGCACGAGTGGAGACGGGAGGGATGCGAGGTGATTACGTGAGTTCTTCTTCAACCTCTAGTAAGCTCCTATCTAATCTCCTCCCTCTGATCTATACAACGGTGCTTCGATTCGAGGTAAGCTCTACACGAAAAAGATGCACCTCGGTGCTATAGTTTCATTCAGTCTATCGGCTCGTAGTTTCGTCGACCGTAAGTTCTTAATCTCGTGTTCCCTTTTGGAGCTATTCTGGACGAATCTTACCAGATTCGTCGTGCACGATCGATCATTTGAAATTTCCTCTGACCAGCAACCTAATCTCGCAGTCCCTCACAACATTTGTGTTGTAATTTTTTGGTTTCGATGATCGTAGCTTCATCTCTTTTTTAACAGCAGCCTACTTCACTGGCCGCCATGTCAAGCTCCTCTGCCCTCTACTCCGAGCCTTCTATTCGTCCCTCTCGACGTCGAAGCCCTTCCCCTTGATCTCCTTGCCCGCGTGCTACTACACTAGAGTCGTTTCCGGCGTCGCTCATCTCGGCCTACTCTTTGTCGTCCTCCTACTGCACTGATGCTGCAATGGCGCACACACTGCTTTCTTGTGTCCTTTGCCTTCGCGCACACTGCAGTTTGCCGCGCCGCCGACGGGTCGATCATCTTCACCTCCTCTCTCTCGCCCTACCACACTGGAGTCGTTTCCTGCGTCGATCATCTCGGCCTCCTCTCTCGTCCACTGCACTGACGATGCCATGGCGCGAGCACTGCATTCTCCTCCTCTGTCCACTGTCTTTGCGCGAGAACCGCAACTAGTTCGCCGATGGTGTCGCTCGCCGTGCTGCCGGCGGGGTCGCTCGTCTACGACTCCATGCTCGTCATGTCGGACACGGCGCCACGGCCACTATCCACCGCAGTCGCCATGGTCCGAGCACACTGCATTTCTTCTCCTCCTTCCTCTGCTAGCTCTTAGCCCTGTGTGCTAAGTGCAAGTGCTAACTCTTAATCATACCCCATGCGGGCAACCAAACAACGTGTAGTTGCATGCGCCAAGACAATGCAGGCAACCAAACAACATGCCAAAATTGATCCCCTAATGCAGGAAGTCCATATGCAGACAACCAAACAAGTCGTAGATGTCGCATATGAGGCTGTTTTTTCAAAGGCAGTTTGAGTTCAGATGTGTATGCAATGCAGCTACTATTCCAACTGAACGAGTAACACGCTATTAGACCGGCCCACATGCATGTTGTAGGAAAGTTTCACCCTAGTTTTGTTATAAGCGAGACATAGCATTCGCGAAACTACGCCTCATGTACGAACATTCAGTCTTTGCCTCCGTGCAATTTGATCCACGATTAGCACAAAAAATCGAGGCCAGCCGCGACGTCCATGTCTCCCCGACGGTCCTGGTGAGGCCTCTTCCAAAGGGTCTTTGACCTTGGGCACTGCTCTATCTGCCCCGCAAATCGACCGAGAGCATAGTTAACAGTATAGCCAGTTGATCGAGTAGGGCATTTTAGAGACCGAGCGTCATGGAGCCTTTTATTTTAAAAAATTCAAAATTTATAAATTTTGGTTTAAAAAATTCTGAAAAAAATTAGACATGTATGCAAGGATGTGAAGTGTATGTGTGAAAGTTTTCAGGATGAAATACCTTGAATTGCGAGCTGCACAAAAAAGCAAAATCATGGACTTTAAAGATGAACAATACAGGTGCTAAAAAGCCTCAGATTGTTTTTTTTTGTGTAGCTCACATTTTATTGTATTCCGAACTAAAAATTTGCACACGTGTACATTATGTATCTAGGTATATGTGTATTTATTTTCAGAATTTTTTGAAATTAACAAGTTTAAATTTTGAAGTTTCCAAATAAAGACCTCCATGAAGCTCGGTCTTCGTTTGGCATTTTCGCAGTTGATCGCTATAAGAAATTGTCATGACATTCATAGTCATCTACTACAGTCGTTTATATAGTAAGGTGTGCTATAAAGTTGGCTATGAGATTAGTACTCTCATCATATACTGATCTAAATGGTTTTATATTTTTTTTACAAAGGGAATAATTTTATAAGCACATTTCTTTCTATTTATTGTAGTATTTGCTTAGAAGTTAGCATATAGCTAGGATCTTGTGTGAGAGTTCATTTTTTTCATGTCTCCCTCCTCCACTTGATAATGCGGGTTAGAGCAACTCCAACGGGTCGACTCAAACAAACGGTGTTTTTGTCCGCTTTTTGTCTGTTTGGGTCGGTCGCCCGCTCGCCGTCCGCCCTTTTTTAGCTTTGGGTCAGCAATGCGTCCAACGGGCCTATCCATTTTATGACCGTACGCGCTTTTAGATCATGCCAGCGGCCATTGCCGTCGCTCTGGTTTTGGCGCTCCAGCACGCAGTAAAGGTTCGCGCGGGCGAGGAAAAGCGGCCTAGCGCGCGCTGGTTTTGGCGCTCCAGTGCGCGGGAAAGGTTCGCACCCATGCCGCGGCCGGCACTCGTTATAAGTCCTTGTATTGTGTCAGTATGAGAATATCCTTCCTAAATTATTTATCCAAACCTGATCATTAACTTAGATTTTCCCAAGATTTTGGCTGCTATTCTGAATTACTCTATTATTCCGAAGCGAGTGAAAAATAAGCAGAACATATATTTTATAGCGTACATCCGCCTGGGTCGACCTTCTATGTCTGGGTCGACTGTTTCATTTTATTTTCTATTATATTAGAGTTCTCTTTTTTAAATTATCCGTCAATTAATATTCTAATGGGAATGAAATTTCATAATACTGAAAGAGAAGAGCTAGCAGGCGCTCCCTCCACACTCTGTCCGCCGCCCACTCGTCTCGCCCCCTCTCATTAGCCTCGCCGTCGCTATGCCACCATGTCGATGCGCCGCCTCGGCGCTTCGGATTTTCGCGGAGTCCGCGAGCGCCGCTCCGGCACCTTCTCCTCCGAAATCTGGTTTCGCGAAAAACGCCTCATCCTCGGCACCTTCGACGCCGCAGAGGAGGCGACCCGCGCGCACGACGCGGCGTCGTGGCGCCTTCTGAGGCCTCGTCGGGATATGAATTTTCCCGACGTGTCGAGCCAGCGGGCGCAGGATCTCGCGCCTCTCCCGCGGCTTTTCACCGACGAGGATCGCCATGTCCACCGGAGGCGGCAGCCTCGCCTCGCCATCGCCGAGATGGACGTGGAAGCCATGGTGGTGTGGTGCGAATGCTTCCCGCAGGACATCGTCGATGAGTGCCACTTCTACAAGCAAAGGAGGTTGGAGAGGGACGCGAGGAGGAAGGAGCAAGCCGCCTATAGGGAGGACAAGCTACGAGAAACGTCGGGTTGAGACTTTGAAGACGAGCAGTATGCTGACGCCTACATTCAGACGTCGGAGGAGGACATTACCGAGTCGGAGTCGGAAAGCGACGAGTAGTTGGTCTTTTCTTTTATCTGTGTACGCTAGAACTATCTTTTTATCGGAAAAAATGGCCGGCGGCGTCGGCGACGAAGCAGGCGGGCGAGGGTGTGCTGTTTGATGTGAAAAGGCCAATCCAGTGTACCACCGACCAGCGGGTCTGATGAGGAAACAGGGCGAGCGCGCACGCGTCCGTCTTATGTTCGTGCCGACGCAAATCAGGCTCAAGAATGGACCGAAAATGGGTCTGCAGGCGGACGAAAGCGGACATGCATCCGTTTGGATCGGCGCGTTGGGCCGATTTTTCTGTCTGCGCTGTACCAAACGAACGGCAACGGACGAAATGAGTTGCCCCATTGGAGTTGCTCTTATAGCCCTTTATTGCACTTGCTCTGACGTGATTCTAAAAAATTAAAATCTACCTGGATGTAGCATTCCTCGGTGGACATGGTTGCTCCCACGTCAGCACTTACGTAAGCCTGTAGTTTTTTAAGCAGGCAATCGGTAAACGCGGCGACGGGTGGTGCAGTGCTGTGCGTGTGTTCGTCGTCGCCCCGCTTGCCGCTTTGCTCTTGCAGATTCGGATCACGGCCTTCAGCGCCGCGACGCCGAGCCAAAGCTCACTGCCGCCTGCCGCAAGCCCAGCCATGGACGACCCCGGCTCCGAGGTCGAGCACGAGATACCCGGCGTCGTGCGTGTGCACAAGGGCGGCCGCGTCGTGCGCTTGAACGGCACCGAGACCGTGCCTTCCTCACCGTCCGGTGACCCAGCCAGCGGCGTCGCCTCCAAGGACGCCGTCCTCGACCCGGCGGCAAACATCTCTGCTCGCATCTACCTCCCCGCCGCCGCCTCCTTGGCGGAGCCCGGGAAGAAGCTCCCTGTGGTCGTGTTCTTCCACGGCGGCGCGTTCATGATCTACACCGCTGCCTCCCCGCTCTACCACAAGTACGCCGCCTCCCTCGCCGCCGCGGCCCCCGCCGTCGTCGTCTCCGTCAACTACCGCCTCGCCCCGGAGCACCCAGTTCCGGCCGCCTACGAGGACGCCTTCACGGCCCTCAAGGCCGTCGTCTCCTCGTGCCGGCCGGGCGGCGCCGAGCCCTGGCTCGCGGCGCACGGCGACGCGTCCCGCGTCGTCCTCGCCGGCGACAGCGCCGGGGCCAACATGGCGCACCGCACGGCGGTCCGGCTGCGGAAGGAACGCATCGAGGGGTACGACGACAAGGTCAGCGGCATCGCGCTCCTGCACTCGTACTTCTGGGGAAAAGAGCCGGTCGGCGGGGAGCTCACGGACGCCGCCATCCGCGGCGGCATTGACCAGGTATGGCATGTCGCCTGCGGCGGTAAGCTCGGCCTCGACCACCCGTACATCAACCCCGGGGCGTCGCCGGAGGAGTTGAGCCAGCTCGGGTGCGACCGTGTGCTGGTCGCCACGGCGGAACACTGCTGGTTCGTGGAGAGGTCGCGCGCCTACGCGGCGGGCGTCAAGGCGTGCGGGTGGGGCGGCGAGCTCGAGTTCTACGAGACCAAGGGCGACGGGCATGTCTACTTCTTGCTCAAGCCCGACTGCGACAACGCCGCCAAGGAGCTCGCCGTCGTGGCCGACTTCGTCAGGCGCTGTTGAGTCTGTTTTCTCTAGTTCGCCGGCGAATGATTCAGTAACAGAGGCTGGGGATCAAAAAATCTTGCCCTTTATTTTCATGGTTCTGAATTCACAAAATAAGTGTGTTTCTGAGTTCTGATTACACTTGCAATCCGAAGGGGAACTCACTGAGCACGCGAGTGCCCTCTGAATCAATTGCCGGCGAGGAAGGCGACCACCCGGTTCATCAGTTGCATAGCCGGATCAAACTCCGGCTTGCTGAGGAAGAACACGTGCTCTCCTCCCTTGGACTCCAGCCACTCCACCGTGCCGGGCCACCCGCTGGCCTTCACGGCCTGGTAGTACGCCGCGGCCCTCGGCAGCGCGAAGTCTCCGTCGGCCGAGCAGACAAGCAGCCTCCGGCATGCCAGCTTCTGCAGGCTCGGCGCTCCACGAGCCAACGGGTTCAACCTCGGGTCGTCCATCCCGTCTGCGCTTTCCGGGCATATTATGGGCCAAAGCTTCTCCGTGATCGCTCTCATGTCCATGGCCTCGCCGTCCATTGCCTCCTTACCCCCAAACATAGGATGGAATATGATCGCCCCCTCAATCCGTGCTCCTGGGGGCAAACCATCCCGGGTGCCGGCCATGATTGCTATGTTGTGGACGATGTTCGCGCCTCCGCTGTCGCCGGCCAAGAAGATTCTGCCGGCGTCGCCGTGCTCCGAAAGCCAGGGGTCATCCCTCGAAGCGGCCCAGCTGAGCGCCGCCCAGGAATCGTCGTAGGCCGCGGGAACCGGGTGCTCTGGCGCGAGGCGGTAGTTGACCGACACGGCCAGGACGCCGGCCTTGGAGGCGACGGAGTTGAGGTACCTGTGGTACGTCGGAGAGGCGGCCGAGTCGAGGACCAGGCCGCCGCCGTGGAAGTATACGAGGATCGGGAGCTTCTTGCGCTGGGAACCGGAGCCGGCGGCGACGAGGTCGGGGACGTAGAGGCGGGCGAAGACGCCGGTGGCGGCGTCGATGACGACGTCCTTGGAGGTGACGCCGGTGGCAGCATCGAAGCCTGGCGGGGTGGTTTCTGTGCCGAAGAGACGCTCCACTCGGCCGTCCTCGTAGACGCGGAGGAGCGGCGAGTCGAATCGCAGTTTGGTGGCTGGATCCATTGCTGGCGCAGGTAAACACTCTGGCGACGAGACTGGGGGAGACTCAGGCGCCCGAACAGGCGAACTCATAAGGTAAAGGCCAGCACTAGGCGCCCGGCCGGCCGACCAAAATATTTGGCCGGTCGTGCCTTGGCCGTATGATGAAACGACTCCCAACTGTTCAGATCTGGTGCCTTCTCTTCATCCCCAACCTCCCCTTGCCATCTCCTCAACACGTGGCCACCGGAATTACAACCCTCCCACTGGACGGCTCCAGCACACGGTCATCGTGGTTGCCGGCATCCCAACGTCATGGCTTCAACGCGAGGGGAAGAGCGGTGGCTTTCTTGGGACCCGAGCGGCGACGACCTATCATGCACTACTCTTGCTCGCTGTCGGCGGCGTACTTCGACGTGCTGGATTCGTGGTCGTGGCGGTGGGGCGTGGCCTTGGCGGAGCCGTAAATGTCCTCCTCGTCATCGCTCTTGTTAAACATCTCGTTCGTCGCCTCGTCCATCTTCTTCACTAGTAGAAAACATGGCTTTGGTCCAGGCCTGACCAACCTATTAGTCCCGGTTCAGTCACGAACCGGGACCCATGGAGGCAGGGCCTCGTTGGTCTCGGTTCGTCTGGACCCATTTGTTTCGGTCCAGACACAAACCGGGACCAATAGGCCTCGCTCTTAGCCCACATCCATTGGTCCCGGTTCATGGCTGGAACTGGGACTAGGGGAGTCCTGGATTAGGGGGTCTTCGGACAACCGGACTATATCCTTTGGCCGGACTGTTGGACTATGAAGATATGAGATTGAAGACTTCGTCCTGTGTTCGGATGGGACTCTACTTGGCGTGGAAGGCAAGCTAAGCAATACGGATATGTATATCTCCTCCTTTGTAACCGACCTTGTGTAACCCTAGCCCCCTCTGGTGTCTATATAAACCGAAGAGTTTTAGTCCGTAGGACAACATACAATCATACCATAGGCTAGCTTGTAGGGTTTAGCCTCTCCGATCTCGTGGTAGATCAACTCTTGTACTACTCATATTATCAAGAATAATCAAGCAGGACGTAGGGTTTTACCTCCATCAAGAGGGCCCGAATCTGAGATCCACCGATTTTGACACCGACATTGGTGCTTTCATTGAGAGTTCCACTGTGTCATCGTCGTAAGGATGGATGCCTCGTCTCGTTGTTAAAAACAACATTACCGCCGGGGGAGCCCTGACTGTCGGCCAAACTCTCCGGCTTGGCAGTTTCATCATGATCGTCCGTTCGGCCGCTGCACCGACGATGACTTCTCGGGTCATCGAAAACAGCCTCCACGCCGGCTCGGAATTCGCCGAGCAGATGGATCCAATGGAGCTCTCTTCCCTAAATGAGCTCTTGGATCGCATCGCCGCCTTGTGAGTCGCTACGGACTATCATCGGATTGGGCTTAAACCCGATCAAAGGGAGATTAACTCTCCACCGGTCACCCATCATATTGCGGTGGTGGAGGAACAATGCGGCGAGTCTTCCTCTATCTTGAGGACTAACTATGTCTGGATTCCTGAGCTCTTCGAGCCGGATACCCGTTTACGGGAGGACATCACCCAAGCCCTGAACCTAGAGTCAGGCAGCGGGCCAGACTCATCGGGCAACATCCCGGAATCCGAACTTCTAAGATTGGAAACACCTCGGCCCCTGGGTCTCAGATCGGGTAAGGGTTCGGAGTCAAATACACCCACCCACCCAGACATAAACAATCGTTCCCACATTAGGCAAGAGCCCCATGAAACAGTACATCATTATTGGGTCAGATTCCTCCTTGTGATGAACAAGGTTAAGGACTGCCGCGAGGAAGACGTAGTCTCACTTTTCTGCAATAACTGCACGAACAAGGGAATCCTTAACGCCATAAGTCGTCGTGACATATCATGCTTCGCCGATTTGGCGTCCATAGTACGAATGTACTGTGCGATGGAAAGTGCCTGGAAAACCGAAACGAAATTTTGGGATAATCCGGCTCCGAATATACACCCAGTCCGAAATAAAATGGTGCACTATCATAAGACACCCGAGTTAATTACAAAGAAGCAAAAACCCTCTACAGGGCGTGGAACCGTATTGGAGGGATGGCTCAACGGACCATGCAAAATTCATAGTACAGCAGATACCATACCAACACACAACCTTAGAGCATGTTGGATACTCCGGCAGGTGGCCAAAAGCGGCGAGGATCTTCTCATCCCAGATGCCACAGAGCACCATCCCAGGGATAACAATACGGTATTAACAGTCTTTAAGACCTTCGCATCAAATAATAGGCGCAGGCGAACACTCCGCAGCATTGCCGAAATCTGCCACGTGGCAGCAATAAATCCATGGAGTGACACGGCTATTACCTTCAATGCCAGTGACGAACCTAAATTCCGAACAGTCCGAGCACCAGCTGCACTGGTCCTCAGTCCAATTGTGGACGACTTTCGACTCACCAAAGTACTCATGGACGACGGCACTGGATTAAACCTCATCTATGAGGAAACTCTTCAAAAAATGGAAATAGACTAGAACCGCATTGAGCAAAGCAACACAATCTTCAGAGGAATCATCTCCAGTCGGGAAGCATGCTATGCTGGGAAAATCACACTAGATGTGGTATTCGGCACGCCGGAAAACTATAGGTCCGAAGAAATTATATTCCAAGTGGCCCCGTTCAGTAGTGGATACCACGCCCTTTTAGGACGAGAGGCATTCATGATCTTCCAAGCCATACCCCATTATGGGCACATGAAGCTCAAAATGCCCGGGCCCAACAGAATCATCACTCTCGCTAGTGATCCGGACACATCACTCCGCGCCGAAAACAAAACAACCGCATTGGCCCTCGAGGCATTATCCGAAGCCCTTTCGGCCGAGGAATTAACTGCGCTACGCTCCACAGTGGACAGGGACGACGTGATACTTGACAAGAGATCTAAGTCCACCTCTTTCAAACCAGCGGATGAAATAGTCAAATTCCAAGTCCACCCAACGGACCCTACAAAAACAGCCTCCATCGGGGCACAGTTAAACCCCGCCGTGGAAGCCGCACTAAGAGAGTTCCTGCGCGAGAATTGGGACATATTCGCCTAGCACCCCTCAAACATGCCAGAAATCCCATGCAGGCTAGCCGAGCACAGCCTCAACATCCTAAAGGGATTCAAGCCGATCAAGCAGGCTCTTCGGCGTTTCTCCGAACCTAAGAGACAAGGTATGGGAGAGGAACTAGCCAAGCTATTGGAGGCCGGATTCATTAGAGAAATAGAACACCCAGACTGGCTAGCAAACCTGGTGATGGTACCAAAGAAGGACAAATCCTGGCGCCTATGTGTCGACTTCAAGGACCTCAACAAGGCTTGCACAAAGGATCCCTTCCCCCTCCCCCGCATTGATCAAATTATCGATGCTACCGCAGGACACGAGTCATTGTGTTTCCTCGACGCATACTCCGGCTACCACCAAATCAAGATGGCGGAGTCCGACCAAGCCGTAACGGCATTTATCACACCATACGACCCCTTCTGTTTCAACACAATGCCTTTTGGGCTCAAAAACACCGGCGCAACATATCAGCGCATGATTCAGATATGTCTGGAGAAACAAATCGGCAAAACAGTAGAGGCATACGTAGATGATGTGGTCGTTAAAACCAAACACGTCGACTCTCTAATAGACGACTTGAGACTCACATTCAACAACCTCCAAACATACGACATCAAGCTCAATCCGGAAAAATGCGTTTTCGGCGTACCAGCCGGAAAGCTCTTGGGCTTCATTGTCTCCAGTAGAGGAATTGAAGCTAATCCGGCCAAAATCCGAGCTCTGTCACAGTTAGCTATCCCAACGGACCTCAAACAAATCCAGAAATTAACTGGA